TGTGTGTGTGTGTGTGTGTGTGTGTGTGTGTGTGTGTGTGTGTGTGTATACATATATATATATGTATGTATGTATGTGTGTGTGTGTGTGTGTGCGCGTGTGCGCCAGAGAGCTGGCATATGTAAAGATGTGTGTGTATAGATAGATAGATATTGGTATAGGTATAGGTAGATAACTTGAGCTTATGCAGAATTTGGCAGTAATGGAGAGGAACAGGGAAAGCAGGGAGGGAGGACACCATTACAGGGTGTACCAAAGCTGGGGGACAGGAGACATGGGGCAGGGCCCCTGAGAGCCAGTCTGTACCCCAGTTACCACTTCTGTGAAGGCCAGCAAGTTTCATACAGGTGTGAAAGGCCAGAGTGCTCCTCCTGGTTGACTGCAGCTGCGCCTCCTTGCCTCCAGGGTGTCAGCTGTGTATCTGGTTATGGCCGCAGAGAGCAAGCTGTGGGAGCTGGAGCCCTCCTTCCGCCACGTGTGACCTTGGAAGTGAGGTCAGGGTATCTGTTTGGTGGCAGGTGTGTTCACTTGGTGAGCCATCGTGCTAGCCCAGTGTCAGAGTTATAGTTTCTAATAGCAATTTATTTATGTAGGTGCTTTATGTGTATGAGTTTTTGTGTGTGAGTGTATGTGAACCACCATGTGAGCCTCGTGCCCACAGAGGTCAGGAGAGGGTGTCATACTCCCTGAGAGTCAGTTACAAACCCCTGTGAGCCACTGTGGGCCCCTCTGTGAAAATGGGAGGCCAGCTCTGCAGCTGGCTTCTGCCCCTCTGCTGGGGCCGAAGGCCGTGCGGCCCTGGGAGTTTTAAAGTCACTCCTGCTCCAGCATTCCTCTGACAGCTAGCTGCTGCCTCAATCATACTCACTAAATTTTTTTCATATTTAATTTCCCCTTGCAACCGAAATCTGTTTGTTCTTTATAAAGCTAATTGCTTTTATTATTCAGTTATAAACACTGTGGGGTTTCTGTGTCTGCCATGGCAGTCAGACTTGAGTGTGGCACAGGATCCCAGTCTGTGAATATTTGTTGAATGAATAATATAATAAATAAGCATTTCCTGCAACGCTCCATGGTGTCTGCAGGGAGGTGGTTTTGGATCCTCATAGTTAGCAAAATCTGCATGTGCTCCCGTTCCTCACAGGAAATGGCAGGTTGTTTGGATCTGGTGTTAAGCGCCACATGACTTGCAGGATATTTGAAGTCGTCTTGGTTGTTTCTGATGCTGGCCTTGCCGTGAGGGCTGCACTGTGTGGCTTAGAGAGCGATAGCAGGAGGAAAAGCCTGTGCATGCTCAGAACGAACAGCCTTTCCCCCCGGATATTTGCAGTTCAAGCTTAGTTGAATCTGTGGATGTGGGGTGTGCCGGCTCAGAAGCCCCATGGCACCTTCCTATGGATGCGGGTGTTAAGATAACTCAGTAAACAGATGATGTAGAAATTGTTGAGAGAGGAGAGGGAGAAAGTGGTCAGGGGCAGCTAATGAGAAGCCAGCTTTTGCTCTGCAGGGTGTGCCGGGGAAGGGGCGGAGGGAGGGCCGTTCTGACCTGTGTCTAGATACAAACCTGGCCTAGGTCTCCAAAGAAAGCCTGAGTGCAGCAGTGAGGAGGGAGGGTGGGGTGTGGCTCAGCAGAGTGCTTGCCCTGCAAGTGTGAGGGCAGACTCCAGCGTTCTCTGCAGTCCCGGGGCTCAGGGGGTAGATGGATCCCCCAAATCGTCTTAAACCCAGTATATGAATTTACCGTGAGGACCTGCATTGTCAGTGCATTCTCACGCCTTGGGCAGACCCGTATGGGAACCAAACCAGAGACCATTACTTAGCATGGTTGGCCATGTGCGGGGTTTATTTGCAGGGGACCAAGAGTGCGCGCACATCTTGCTGTAGCCTTTTCAGATGACTCCAGGAAGGGACCAGAAGCCATTCTGTTACACCTTGTTAGCTTCCTGCCAAAGACTTCCGTTTCTTGCATCTGTACCCACCTATTTTCACTCCTTCATTTTGCTTAACAAGATTATCTGTGCAGGAGAAAGACTGCCTCTGTCTCCCAAGTTCTGGGATTAAAGCCATGCACCACCGCCATTAAAGCTGTGCACCACTGTGCCTGGCAAAGGTTGGGATTCTTCCAGCAAGGCCCCAAGCTCTCTTACCCTCTCATGTCTGGGTTGTAGGTGCACAGATTGCAGGCCCACACTGGATTTCTGATTAAGTAGTTTTAGGGCGAAACCTGAGAATTTGCATTTCCGTTAGATTGCCAGATGATGTTTGAGTTGTTGCTCTAGGGACTAGATTTCGAGAACCAGTGGACTGTTCCTCCAGATTATTGGAACCACATGTATGGCAACTCACAAATGTGAATCTATAACCCAGGTCATCCCGAGCTCCTGACCAGTATGTATTCTTCCTCCTCTTCTTTCTCGAGACAGGCCTGGACTCACTATGTAGACCAGGTCCGGCTTGAACTCATAGACTGCCTGCCTCTGTCCTCTTACATGATCCACTTTAAGTCACTTCTATTTAAACATAGTCAAAATCAAATTGATGACTACCACACATCACCAACCCACACACCCACACCTAGACCCCCCAGCACACGTGAACATACACCATGCACACAGTGAAGTGGGGTTGTTAATTTGACAGAGACGTTATCTACATGAGGCTGGCCCGTGGGCAGGTGTGTGGGGTTTCTCTTGCTCATGTGAACTGGTATGGAGGAACCAACCGGCTGTGACTGACACCATTATTTAGGTGTGGGTCGTGGACTATACAGAAGGGCAGAAAAACCGAGCTGTTTATTAGAAGTACATGTGTGTTTCTTGCCCCTCTGCTCTTGACTGTGGCTGTAATTGCCTGTTCCAGGGCCTGCCCTCGTTGTCCCACAGTTATGGCCTGTACCCTGGAATTGTGGGCTAACATTAATCCTTTCTCCTCTGAGTTGCTTTTGTCAGGGTATTTTTATCACAGAACGGAAAAATGAATGAAGTCCCAACTGCAGCAACATCCAACAAATTATTCTTAAAACCTCCATCTTGAGTTACCAAGATGGCTCCAGGGTAGAGGTGCTTGCTCCCAAGGCCTGAGTTCAGGTCCAGGACCCACTGGAAAGGGAAATCTGGTTCTCTGCAGTTGTTTTCTGATCTCTGTTTCCATTCTGAAGTACTAAGTCGTCAGTTTTCTGTTTCTTTTTGAGCCAGTTTTTGAGCCTGATTTGTCTAGGAAACTCCTTGTGCTCTAAGTTTTCACATTTTCCACGCTCTTCAGGTTTCTGCCCTGTGCTGCCTCGCCGCCATCAGCCTGCCGGATGTCTGCTTCTTTGAAGAACGCTTTATCTTCTGAGTTATTGTTTTCAGGGTCCTTTTGTTATTTTTCTCTTTGTGTTCTTTAAGTTGGCTCATGAACTTGTATATAATTTCCTGTTGTACACCTAAGCTGTGTCTGCCTTTTTCTTAGCTTCTCTTTGGTCAGAGAACTTGCCTGTACAAAGGGAATCCGTCAGGACATGCCCAGAGTGTACTTGGTCTCTGTAACTCGTCTGCTAGTGTCTTGTGTTGTGACAGCCCCTTGGCTCACATTGTTCCGTCATGCTCGGGGCTTCTTGGTTCTCTCAGCTTTGCTGGGTCTCTCAGTGTTGGTAGGAAGCGTATCCAGGCACCTGCGTTTCACAGTGTCTTATGGAAACACCTGTAACTATGGCATCACCATTGCCCTGTGGTTCTGGTGGGTTGTGATTTTATGTTTTTAAAAGCTGTTACTGTGTGGGGTTAGGAAGTAGCTCCCTGAATACAACATTTGCCTGCCTCAGCAAGACCCAACTTAGGGTGTTCTAAGTACTATTAAATAAATAAAATTTTATTTGTAACTATCTTATTTTTTCTCATATAAGAACTTCAGAATACTTTTTATTTTTTTTTTAAATTTTTTTCTAGACAGGGTTTCTCTGTGTAGCCCTGGCTGTCCTAGAAATTGCTCTGTATAGACCAGGCTGGCCTTGAACTTAGAGATCTGCCTGCCTCTACCTCCCCAGTGCTGGGATTAAAGGCAAGCCGCCACCACTGCCTGGCTAACTTTAGAAAAATGTTGGTTACCACAAATTCCCATGTTAGATGCATTCAGTATACCACTCAGTCACGTGCTGTTAACTGTTTTCTGTACTTGTGAATCATATAGTCACTGTTCCTTTCCACACTTAGTCCTCTCAGATCAGCCGTCCTCAGTACATTGTTAGTGATAGGTACTCTAATGAGGATATTACTAGTAAATTCTCTCCATTTCTGCACGTGTGTGTATATATACACGTGTGTGCGTGTGTGTGTGTGTGTACACACACATGTAAGTGCTAGGTTTTCAAACGCTACTTTCTTTGGGGGTTCCTTAAAGCTTATGCCTCCCTTCCACCCCGCCAACCCCAGGCAAGGGAAAGGTGGTAAGGGAAAGGGTCTTCCTCCTGGGTAGGGTTGTAGGTTCTTTTGGGGACAGTACCAGTACCCATCGTCAGGAAACCCAGAAGTCCAGGTAACCAGCAGCAGCAAACGCAGCAGCAGGAGACCAGCAGCAAGCAGCCTCCTTGCAGTCCCCACCCCTCCAAGCCGCTGCAATTTTCCCTCTGGGCTATCGTATTTCTACCCTCAAAGTCCTCAGAGCTCAACTAATTCCAGCTGCCAAAGCTCCGCAAAGACAGTTAACAG